ACATTGTAAAAATTTCAAGGGGCACGATAAGCGACACCTTTGTTAAATCGTGCATAATAAAACTTTGAGTAGGGAAGGGACTTCCACTCCACGAGTTGTAGGAGAAATAGGATTGAACCGCAGCACTGCGACTGCCTTTTGACGTCACTTATCAAAAAGAGCTAAACACTTGTCGAAAGTCGAAGTCGAAGGGAGACCAGAGCGCCAGGCTCCTAAAGCCTAAATTCATGGTACTAACAATAGAACCGAGGCATGAAATCGCACGCATAACAATGGGGAGGTGGTTGGAATGTGGATGTTAGTTACGTATCAGAAACGCTACGAACAATACGCATTGCTTTATGCTGAACGCGGTTCAAAAGTGCCAGAAAACAAGTGCACCGCAGGCCTGGCTACAGTGTTCCACAGTGAAATGCTTTGGCTTAGTATAGGGAAAGAAGCATAACCTCAGTGCGTGAAAAAGTATTGGTGTTACCGAGTGTACTTGATGAAAATCCTATAGCATGTGGATGCCAGTATAGATAATATAGAAATGGAAGACAAAGATGTAGAAGATATAAAACGAGGTAAGTTAAATTCAAAATGTGGACTTGGAATGTGTGGAATACTCTTGTGGGATATATGTGTGTTAAGCTTTTGCTGCAAATAAGTAGACTCAAAAATTTGTCGATACCTGCAAGTTTCTGTGACCTATGTAAACTGTTTTCACGTACACGATATGGTAATGTAAAAGCCTTTTCCAAATTTATGCTACGCCGAATGGTTTGAACGTTGCTTCGATACTTTAAACATCGTTATTTGCTTTTCCCATCGTTCTTTTCCAGCTGTTAACTTACCCCATCTGCTTGACTGTCGCGATAACCTACGCAGCCACGCTCAACTCCTTGAAAGTATTGCGTATCGGCTTGCTGGACGTCCCTTTCAATTGGAATCTCCTCGAGAAATTTCACAGGTTCGTTTTGTGTCACCCATCCTGCCGTTAATGGTGGTTAATAGATCTTTTCTACTGCACACCTCTTATCTAATGAAAAACCCATAATCATTGGTTCTTGCTGCTCATTCATGATAGCCGACGATTCAAGTTCTTGGACATAGTTCAATGTGAACCACATAGGGTCCCACTGAGATAGGCGTGGTATTGAACCGTAGTTCAGAGAGGCTATGAAGGGCGGAGGTGGAGCCGTATCCTAAATTTCAGTCAAGGTAGTTCAACCTTTCCTCCTGATTTGTACAAAAAAGCCAACCAGTTTGGTCTCATGTATAGGCGTCCCAAGATTAAGCGTTACCCTCGACGTGCTATTAAAGTATAATGCAATTAAGGAAGTCTTCGCCACCATAGAACCACGTGATTGTGACGTGCCTCTCTGATCGCATGTACTGTATTATGATAAGTATCTGGAATCAGAGACATACTTAGAATTCTTTAATGAATATTCGGTTGTTGTTTCGATTGTTCATAGACTCCTGTGCTCCCTCTCGCTGAGGGATGTGCCAGAGAAGTTTATTTCAATTTTGCGATCTCCTTATACCGAAGCCATAGTAGACTCCAAACCTACGATACTTTTGCTCCCGAGTTCAACACAGGAAGTGCTGTTGGTCAGCGTTGCTCACTCTTTCTCACTTTCTATTTAATTTTTTCATTGACTTAATTCTCGAAACAGCTATATCCTCATGCGAGAATAATGGTATCGAGTTAGTACCAGATGGCAGACTGTCTGATCTGGAGTATGCAAACGACATTGTGCTGCCAAGTAAGGATCCAGGTAAGTTGCAAGCTTTCCTGGATAGCTGAGTGCTAGTGTATCTATGCTTGGTATGCGTTTTGCACCTTCAAAGTGTAAAATGTCGCTGCAAGACTGGGTTAGTCCAGCACCCAGCCTCACTAACAAGTTGTAGAGAAAGTAGACAGTTTGTTATTTCGGCAGCTATACCTCACGCATTGCGGATGAAGCGTCGACTCGCCTAAAGAAGACTCGAACTAGCATTTGTCAACCTAAGACATCTGGGGTGCCCTGGCGACACCCGGTTGTCTGTCAAGGGTCGAGTATATGCTGCAACAGTTAAGCCAATCCTGCCCTGCGCTTCAGAGATTTGGCCATCACGGGAACAGGATAAAAATAGATTACCGGTGTTGGAACACTGTTGTCTACGTCGAATTACATTTTTCTGGTACGGCAACCGGACAAGCGATGCTCAGGTTAGGCGCAGAGTTCTAGGTAATGGCGCTCATCTACTGGAGAAGGTGGTAGACCTCCGTGGACTGCGTTGGTTGCGTTATGTACCGCGCATGCCACAAGTAGGTTGCCATGAAGCGAGCCGTTTACCTCGGCAACTGTTGGGTGGACCAAAGTAGATAGTGGTCCAGTTCAGGCCTGGCACGAGGGTATGAATACACCTACCAGGAGACTTGCATACTCAGGCTACATTAGGCTTCCTGGATCATCACGTCGGGATCATTGTAAGCAGTGGTTACAGACACTGAGCGTGTCGTATACACTGGCGCTCCTGCTTCACTCATAATTCTTTCAACTCCATTCTCCAAAATTTTCTATCTTGTGTTTACTGTGCTCCTAACATTTTTATTTTCATTTCGGTCTTTTATCCCAACGGGCAGCCAAAAGACGACCAAAACCGGCGCATAAAAATGCATAGTTAATGTTTGGAAAAAATGAGATCGGAAACTCAAACAGTGGCACCCCCTCATCGATTTACTGTCTTAACAACCTTAGCCTCCATGTTTTTCTTATTTTCACCTTGACACTGATGTAGACGTACCATTCCATCCATTTTATCCAAATGGGCAGCCGAAACCGGCTCGCGAAGCACGATGGGTGCTGTTCGTAAAAACTTGACTGAACTACTCATTCGTTTAACATGAAGATGCATTGTCAGCTTCACTAATGTCGGTTGCTGATCAGTCCTCATCTAGTCTTAAAAGTGTTGTATTCAAGATTTCATTTGCAATGGAATTCGATTTTAGCAAAAGAAAACACTGCACAGTCCTTGTCATCAATTCATTCGGTTTATGTCGCTCTTGCCCTCTGGACTACGTGGTCAGCGATCAAAACCTTCAGCTACTGATTGTACCAATTTAGGATGCTGTTTAGGTTTCTATATGTTGGTTATCATGTAAATTGTGCTCAGACGGCCTTCCGTGCACTATCAACGGGGTTGAACAGATTTCATGAACACTAATCGGCATATGAGATTTCATGTTATAGGTGCTTTTCCAGTGGCTGCACTTGCCTCAGCTGACCGACANCCCCCGGGAGCCACAAATGCGCTACTCATCCGACTCTCCGGATTACATCCGCTTCCAAAACTACTTATCGAATGGCGCCACATCCATGGTCTACTGGAAAAGACGTTTTCCGGTTTAATATCCGTTTGCGAATCAACCCTGAATGCTTGCAAGGTGAGTTTTGTTTCTCTCATAGTATTTCACTCAGTGTCCATTCTACAGAAAGCCCTTCAGTTCTAGACTATATCATTCCTGGTTTAATGTGTGAGATTGCCCCAAATATTTATATATATGTATTTCATAATAAGTAGTATGTGAATGACTGGACAAAATTTCCCTGGAAGCATACGACCGGTTTCGCGGTTCTTGCCGCTCGTCAGG